CCAGATGTCAAACTGCTTCAAACATATCCAAAACATTCGCGTTTAATTCCAACGTAACCTCATCTGAATCTGGTCCCGCGCCTGTTTTTTGCCTTCTTCTCTTGACTACTCTTGTGGCATTTTCTCCGATCCGGGAGATGTTCCCACGGTCGAGGCTCGAGCAGGCCCATATGGCACACGACTAAAATGTCACCTAGCGCCCTTCTCATTAACACTGTAAATTACGACCTAAGAACGTCTCAACATCGCGCGTCTGGCTCGTGTGCGCGCGAGACTCTCGCGCGACTGGAGTAGCGTTGCTGAGCAGCGAAGAACTGCAGGAACCCATCACGGCCTTGTTTCTGGCTTTGAGGTCTAAACCCTGGCAGCGAAGACAGCAGATATCTGGTTGACATCGGACAGCAGGGCGTCAGTCACCTCTACACGTGCCCTGCTGGCAAAATATGCCACGAGGGGGATGTTAATTGCATGTCCCATCACGATCTGTTTGGATGCCATGGTTAATCAAATAAACCTTTAACAATATTGCTACATAATAATCATAAGATTATGGCTGTCCCCGGGCATTCCAGTGAGCGGGTAATCGCACTTAGTACAGTTGAACTATGCTAGGAGTGAGATATTTAAATTTCATCCAACGTAGACGATAAAATTTAGATAATTTCAAGCATTACTCTTTTCACCCGACCCTTCTTAATACGGGCCTAGTCATAACATTGACATGTAATACTGGATGTTGTAAATAACACGTTTGAAGTGGCAACTGTTTATGAGGATCTGTAAACACTGATAATAAGAAATAATCGAGCATCGCGTAGAGAATGCCATTTGTTTATATAAAACTACATGATGCTGACGTTAGACACATAAAAGTGACAGTTGGGTACAAGATACACCAGCCATACATCAGTCATATAAACATAACGGTACTTTCAGCAGGGAAAAGGCGATACTAGGTTTGATTAATGTGTGTTTACCCATGCACGATACACCTTATCGGGAAATTATTTGTGTTCAGGTGTTTGGTATGTGATACAATGAGCAGATATAGCACCATCTACGTAGAGAATACACTCTGTTGGTGTAAAGCATCGAAAAGGCCTCACAGAAGCGCTGGCAGAACTGTGGCGGTAAGCATATGCTAAATGCATATCGATAGATTGGTCGCAAACGCAGACAAAGACAATTAAACGAGTTAAGTCTCATTCTGTGTTGTTAGTTCGAGGGGCCATTTCTGCTAGAACCATTCCGGGACCATAAACCAGGCTGATATCAAGCCCAATTCTCAAAAAGCAGATTCTGTGTTTATGAATCCTATCAAGCAGATTTTGGACACGTGCCCGTTACAAAGAAGCGAAAAAAGATTAGACATTTTCTTTTCTCAAATAACTGAAAACCATACACTGTAACAAACTGGGTTTGCAGCTATTGGAGTTGCAACAGCGACCTTGAAGTGAATATGTTGATGGTTATAACATCTGCTGCAAAATTGTGTCAACCGTTAACAGAAGCTTTCTTTTCGCAAAACGGTGATGTGATAATTTTAAGTGTTGCTTCTAAAATGGCCATATACTTCAGAAATTTAGGTTTGCGTTGAAGAAATTCAAGTTTATTCTCAACTTCTTTATACAAACACTGGTTACGAGATGAAATGAATGTTCGAACATCAGTTGCTCTGAATGGACACAAAGTGCTTGCTTTTAAAGCGCCAAATTGCCACATGCAAGAAACTGCTTCTCCGTCCTTCGATGCGATCAAAACAACGCATGTTTCATTAATCGTGTCGTCATCTGTCTTACGGTTGAGAAGTTGCTGTCACACTCTCTCAATGAATGACACTTCTAATTATCTTCAAATTGCCCGTACTGCAAAAACGTCGGAATTGAAGCTCGTCTTAAAGTTGTCATTCTTCCTGCTGCCACGCGTCGCAAACCGTCTTTCAACATGGCTTGTTAACTTGCACATCGGCTGTAGCGAATCGTTTCTCTCACAAACGGTGTATTTCAATAAAAGCGACGAAACCATTTCTAAAATCATAAGAAATATCTACTACATTTGTTTGTTTTTTAACGCCGCACTCAGCAATATTCCAGCTATATGACGGCGGTCTGTAAATAATCGAGTCTGGACCAGACTATCCAGTGATTGACATCATGTGCATCGATCCACGCAATTGGGATACGATGACCTGTATCAACCAAGTCAGTGAGCCTGACCACCCGATCCCGTCAGTCGCCTCTTACGACAAGCATAGTCTCCTCTTAATCTACTACGTAAAAGTCGATTGTACGATTCCGACTATAACATAAGCATGTGTTCGTGAATCACTATCAAATAGTGAAGATACCACGTGTTCGCGAAAACGTGGCCGTATCCTGGCCTTTCTGTTGCACCCGTCACATGCAATACATGCAAGTGCAAGTCAATTGTTCACCGGAAAAACACAAGAACGTGGTACAAATCAAAATAGGATAATGCATCGGATAAATTTGTTTCCGTCAAATTTAGAAATGTCCTTGACATGTCTACCAGAAAGTGTTTTGAAAGTTTTAATGAGGCCTGAACTGTTGCAACCCTGATCAAATCAACCCAGTTTATACATAACAGAAGTAAGGAAACTGTGCGTCCTTGTATTTATTTGCCATCTTAGAAGACTACTGAAGACTTATAATCCATGTTGGTTGGTCGGTTGGTTTGTTGTTTTACGCCGCACTCAGCAATATGACGGCGGTCTGTAAATAATCGAGTCTGGGCCGGACCATCCATTGATTGATATCATGAGCATCGATCCACGCAATTGGGATCGATGACATGCTTCAAACCAAGTCAGCGAGCCTGACCACCCGATCCCGTTAGTCGCCTCTTACGACAAGCATAGTCGCCTTTTACGGCAAGCATGGGTTGCTGAAGACCTATTCTACCCCGGATCTTCATGGGTCTATAATCCATGAATATATACTGATGTACGGTTGGGTGAACAAACCCAGGCACTGAAGATTCAAGTAATCCTAACGTCTCATGCAACGACTCAACTGAGAGTTTGCGCAGGTTTTTACAACTATTCCTCCAGATGATGGCACGGTAGACAAAATATACGCATGTTCCAATCCTTGGTGTCTGTCGTTTTTGTTTTGTGAAAGGGTCGCTTTCTTTAAATTTTCAACCCGGTCTCACGTGTCAAAACACTGATGACAGCAAGTTACATTACAGTTCCTGGAAACATAACGGCGGGCAGATCAGGCGTGAAGAATTCTGTCACTGACAAAATGACTCCTATTTCCGGAATGCACTGGGACATTCTCTTGGTACAGCGCCTCCTTGGACATTGAACTTCTCACTAGTGTCGACAATAAGAAAGCCTTGCTCTGAGGCTGTGCTGAATGATAACGCCATGGATGAACAGTAATAATGTCCTAATAGTAGGCAATTCCAGATCAGCGGTCAGTACATAGTCTTTTATAGGAACAACTTGTATCATCTAGAAAGTATGATTTAAACTTATAATTATATTGCCTTATAGACTTGTGCAAGTCTAACAATAAGGGTGAACCGTAGTCTCAGTAGACTTAATAGACAATGTTGCTATAGTTGCTAATTAATCCAGGACTTTTCAGCTGAGTGTGAGAGGGTAGCCGAAAGTCTTTTAAGATGTTAACCACTTAATAAAACAAACCTTTCTGGTGTTGAAAACTTGACAAATGTTGAGGGGACTAAAATATGTAAATGAGAGACTTCCTTCCACACTTGCTGACAAACTGCTTAACAAAACCATTTAACAAAATAGTTTCCCAGGCGGTTTAATGCATGACTTTGCATGTGTTTGTGACGGGTGCTACCGTTGGGGCAGGATACGCTCACCTTTTCGCGAAGACCTGGTATCATACCGTATATGACCGCGTATAAGCCGAATTTTGAGGACCAGAAAAAAGATTCTGTAGAAAGGGGTCGGCTTATCCACGGGATACACTTTCATGATAGTATTTTTCAGATCGTGATCTGTCAGAAACATCGCCTGAATGACGGTCCGATAGATCACAACTTCCCGAAAGTTTGGAAGTTGCCACTACTAGAGCCATTATTGTTATAAATTATCAATAAAGTTATTATTATACACCAATGTTGTCATTATTAAAAAAATGTTATGCATGTTTCTACTTCCGATAATAAGTTTTCAATATTGAATGTTCAAAGTTGATCGTTCTTCGTAAACTCCGCGATCTTTACATGTAGATCTAACAATATATGTAATTCCCAGCTATAATATATAATCCCCAGATGAAATCGCCAATAGCTATTACGTACGTTTTGCAAAGTTCATAAATTGATAGTTAACAAGTGTCTACCTTTATTGAAAGAGACACATTGTACCCATGTCGGGAATCGAACCCGGGTCTTCCGCGTGACGAGCGAACGCTTTAACCACTAGGCTACCCGACCGCCCCGTAGTTCGTTATAAGCATATATACAGCATATATATACAACACATGGCCGGGGCTAAAAAATAAGTTCGTTATATCGGTCAGTTCGTTCTAAGCGTGTTCGTTACAAACGTAGTTTACTGTTATGCAGTTGTAGACTCGACTGGATGATTGAGTAACAAGAGATACATTCTACACATTGAAGCTGCCATTGTTTCCAGTCCTTATTGAGATCATGCAATACTGATCCGGTTTGTTCTTAAAGGTTGCTGTCATTCGATGCGGCCAAAACAACGCATGTTTCATAAACTGTGTCATCTACTTTACAGTTGAGAAATTGCTGTCACACTCTATCAATGACCGACACTTCAAATTGCAGTGTTCTAGCTATATGACGGCGGCCTGTAAATAATCGAGTCGGAACCAGACAATCCAATTGTCGACATTGTGAGCAGCAATACGCAAGGTCAGCGGTACCATACTCCTCAATCAAGTCACTGCGCCTGGCAATCCGATCCATTTAGTCTCCTCTTACGACCAGCACAGGTTGCTGGGGACCAATTCAAACAACAAAAACCGATGCAAGTGTAAAAATAGTTTAATCATATCTACAAATCATGAACAGATATGACAGAAGATGCCACCTCACTGGTGTGGTGTGGAGTGGAGTGTCATCTTGATGGCTGTATGACTGTGTCTTCAGATAATCCTGATTGACATTAAATGCACATCGAGTCCAAATGGTTTAAATTATCATTTACACCTGTTACTACGACTGAAAATGGTATATAAAAAAAAAGAATTGCCAAATTACATTTGGACCTATAATGATATTTATCAACAACTTGGACCTATCAGTGTGTGACCCACAAGTGCAAATTCATGAGTGATAATGATGAAAGGTTTAGTTTAGGTGAAGAGAACCAGACATATGACAACAATTTGAGCTGATAGTGTCCTTTGAAAAATACACACAAGCAGGTTAACCGTTACCAACACAATTATGATGTTCAAATGTATAAAATAAATTTCCTTTTTTTAAATTCAAATACTCATGATTTAAGTGAAGTTTCTCAATGCAGAACTGTCATTTGACGTAGGTTCATTTGTACTTTTCCTAGCCCTCGCATTTGCAAAACAATATACACCATAAACCTACAAATACAAAACATATCTTATAATATCAATCACCGACAGACTAACAACTCATGGATCAATGATGACCTCTATGCCAACAGTTGTGAAAACACAGTTCAGCAACATGAATACCCCTGGGTTAAAACAGTTCACTGCAGTCACAGCTTCCTGCGTGGTATGCCAGTGTATGCTTCCTGAAGATCACAGCATGACAACTCTCAGCTAGGCAGAACACAATATCACACAGCCTTATGTCAACTCTGTGCCAACATTTCATGATTGGGTAACAGTGTGACCACATATCAACTTGATGCTGCACCAAGTCTTCGTAATGTAACCAAATATTTAACAAATACATGCAAGTTCCTATCATTCAATTTACATAACAGAGGAACATGCAACAAAATCATAAATAACATTTGTCAGTTTTAAAATAACCAAATCATTACATGACTACGTATCATTTCATGTTGCTGAATACATTAATTTTGAAAATGGGAGGTGAAAATGTAGTTGTCATGACAATAGTAGTAACTTGCATTCAACAATATTTTGTAACAGTCTCATCAATCTCATCAGTCTCATCAATCCTTGTCTCTTTATATAAGAACAATTTTGGAATGATCTCTTAAATGTATGTTTTACTACAGGGCATAAATTAACATTTAACATCTACTAGACATTTCATAAGATAAGCATAAGTATATCACTCACTCACTCCCCCTACCCCTTACATGAAATAATATGGTCTGGTGTTCATTTCAAATCAGGGTTTTGAGTCACCTGAAGCAATTTTCCTTGGACTGTGAAATGGCCAGACTACACTAGTCCCTATCTTTTATGTATGAAAAAATGTCTGAGGCTTGTAGGATACTATGAACTTCTATACCTAGGAAGGAAATCTGTGTCAAGTCACATGTTTTCCAAGGCATATTTATTTAACATTATAAGCCGGTACATCTGATGTTCTCCACGTGTCACAGAAGGAATACACTTTGTCATGCCATATCTCTGGTCCACATATAAATGTCATATTCATATAATTTTTCAGTCCTGACCATTGACATTTTAGGTTCATGTGTCAAACATGTTTAGTTTATCTTCACCAAGTATTTATTTCGAAATCATAATGAAAAAAGATGTTTTCAAATTTACTCCTTTTTGTAAAGGAAAGTCAGAATGATGTAAACCAGAGAATTTATCATTCTCATATGACCATTCATAAAAGATCTGTTGATCATATGCGATATAACATTACTCTACATTTCTCCTGGGAAATACATCTATGACCGAGCACAGACCTTGCTCTCACAGAAATTATCAAACAGGTGCAGCACATCTGACTGAAAGCCATTGTCAAACACAACCTCCTCACAACACTGAATAACCCAAGACAAACATTAACAAGCAACACCTTGACCGTCCCTTCATAAATTGGTCAGCTGCAACTCTATCAAGTGATGATGGTATATGGTTCCTTGGTTGTGACAAACCACTGACTGAATCACAAATCCACATTAATGTCCCTGTCCAAGAAAGGGACATTAGAACAGAAAACTAATTAATTCCTCCACTAAATTACATATTATGGTTCTAGTACGAAAATTGTTTCCTTGACATGGCGACACTCAGTCTGCCACAAGTCTTACAGGATGTTCAATTCTGACATCTTACACTTGATTCCATGCAGCTATGCGTCAGAATGTACCCTCTGCATGGTTTATTCATGTTCAGTTTACATAAACAGATTAGTTTCCAATATACTTCACAAACGTTTAGACACAAATGAGACAATCTTCATTTCTGATACTCTTCCGCAAAAGAGATTCTCTTGGTACCAAAGTTCCTTTGTTCTTGCACACAATGTTATGCCACTGATTCACTTAACATGAAAACAGCTTCTATCTACAATATGATTGTAATGGATATATGTACAATCTGATGACAAAACCTTGAATAAGTAATGAAATTATCCTGTCAATAATTTAGGACATACAAACTTGCATATTTTGTGAACCGGTGAAGATCAGTAAAGGCAGCTGTATGCTGGACATGATTGCAGAGTTCTACACTGTACAATCAACATCGTCCACCACCAACAACTTCACATACAGCAACAACAACGAACCTATTCTTTTATATTGATGTACAAATCCTTTTCTAAATACATTTCAGATTTGAGCTTATAACAACTCATTCATGTCTGCATAGGAAAATGAATTGTTCCTTTGTTGCCTTAAAAAAGAAATACAGTATTTTATTTGAAAAACTCTGACCTTCACATGCATATGCACTACCAACATTATCAACACACCATGACTACTTCCTTACGATCACCAGCCAGTGCATTCACTGACCCTTAGATATATTTCTTCATGATTCCACTGGGTGTTCTCCAGAAGCTAACAAGCAGTCATTGATTCAATGGTTGCCTGTCTTAAACTGGAAATCTGCAAGATTGGTCTTTAATTATCTTTATTTTACTTTGTGCTTAATTTATTTGGCAAACAGCAGCCAAACAACTACTCATGATGGCCAAACAGCACCCATGGGCATACTAGAATTGACTCATTAGCATTTGTCCATGGTCTGAAGGTAACTGCTGACTTAAACATTTGTGGACATTACAATATCATTTGTCCATATCTTAGAGGTTCCAGTTTTGATGACCTTACCTAGCAACTATGACCATCACCAGATTGGCTGAATAGCATTTGTCAATTGCTATGATCAGTTCTCATGAATTTACATGGTAACTCTGGATATCACTAGATTGATTCAATAGCACTGCCCATGGCTCTATCGGTTCTAATGGTGTTACATGGTAACTATGGACAGTGATATGTCCATTTAAAAGATTCCAGTCACAATGACTACAGGTATCGTAAGATCACCTCATCAGTTTTTTCCTCCGTCGAAAGCATCAGTCTTGAAGGTTGTCCTTCTGAAGTCAGCTCCTGTGCATTTTTCGAAGTCAAATGAACTACATATAACAATGGCCACGTATTGAAACACAATATGTCTGAAAAGCCAAATGGAACTAAAAGTCTACTGTCTTCAGACCGGGATAAATATAATGCACAGACTGGTCTAAACATGAACTAGTTATTATCTTTCCTCTTCCAACAGACTGGTGTATCTTCATCCAGTAGTATCCCCATTCATTCCTTGGCTAAAACAACCAGAGGTACCCCACAGTAATATCATGGAGTAAACCTATTAAAATGACTGTTCATGCTAAGCATCTGTTTTTATGGTCTGTCACACCGTGGGTGTGCTTCTCCCTGATGTTGGCAAAGACCCAGCTGCTCGAGGTGAACCAGTTGACCCTGCAAAATATCATTTTAATAATCACATTTAACCGTTTAGATAATTCATTTCAATTGGTTCCATTAATATTAAAAAAATCTGTTTCCTAAATATCTTACAGATAACACAACAAATTGATATGAGCAGAATTTGACAGCCAGCGGAATTTTACATTTTTCATATCCATTTTGTTGTTGAGCCATACCATACATTTGCAAGTGGACATTTCCTCAAAAACATTAAACTTGATACAGTGAAAATATCCCTTGCAGGGGATGTTGAAAGAAATCAAACAAATACCCTGCTGTAAGTGATTACATTGTTTTCCCAGGGGTTCTATGAACATAACAAACAAAGATGAGCGTATCACATGGGTTGCGGACACAGGCTTGTTTAGCAAACCTCCAGAACTTTCAAGACGGGCCAAAAATGCGGAGGTTGACAGATATGTCCTCAGTATAGTCCCCATCTGTGTGTGTACTGTGTAGTGTTTATGAACAATGTGTTCTAGCAACAGCTGTAGATAAGGTGATGGTGTTCTGTTTTCCTGTTTCTTGGCATACACACGAGAGGCCATGTCTACACTTGGCTGGACTTTATGATGATGGAATATGCATGTCAGTACTGCTGGTGTTATCTGGTACAGGATCATGTGCAAAAGATCCCGCAATACAATAGAGGACTGAAAAGATTCCCTTTTGTATTTTTGTGTACTTCATGACTGAGGAGAACTGTTGGCATTTGTGCTTCTATCAATATCTCACTAACATTTATCTCCTTGTCCAGATTTACCCCATCTCTCCAACCTTAACTGAGGTTTTCTTCAACAAGTTGCAGCACTCTTATATATTCACTTATGGTAGGGTAGGTACCTGGGCTGTTACAATTCACTCGCGTATTCAGTGAATCGAACGTTTACATTCATGAATTGAATTCGTTATTCGTGGTCACTAGAATCGAATATTTACGAAAATACAGTCATGTGCATCTACACACCCTTTACCTAAAAATATTAACATATTATATGCAGAGATTTCTTTAAAGACAACACTCATATATATAATTTGACAATATTGTGGTCACCGGTCATTGTCGTATTTGAGCAGATACTAGTACCTGGATAAATGCAGTAAATAAATGTATAATATGTTAATAATTATCCAACCATGTCAAATAATTTATGTTGAAATTTTTCACTGAATATAACATATTATACATCATCAACTGCTGATTTGTTATTGTATTCGTGAATAAATATTCGTATTCGTTACCCTATATTCGTGATATAAATTGTATTCGCTTCATTGTGTATTCGTTGCAGCCCTAGTAGGTACAGACATACATGTGGGCATGTAAGATTCAAGATCTATCTTCCTCAAATACAGGGTTCAATCATGTATGCTTGTCTTACTTTCAATTTGTTCTGAATTTAGGCTTCAACAAATATGCTCTGTTGAAACTAATTTCTGTTTGGCAATAGGTCATTTTTGGTAATTAATACCTCATTATTATTTACAGTATGTTTTGGGGGTTTGTTTGCTCCAACCACGCCTTTTCACAGCATGAGTGAGTGAGTGAGTGAGTGAGTGAGTGAGTGAGTGAATGTTTTTACACCACTTTTAGCAATATTCCAGCAATATCACGGCGGAGGACAACAGAAATGGCTTCACACATTGTACCCATCTCAGAAATCGAACCCGGGTCTTCGGCGTGACGAGTGAACGCTTTAACCACAAGGCCAACCGACCGCCCCTCCATATGTTACTGAGCAGTTGTACAGCATGAATCTAAGCAGTAAGCTTATGTTGGTTTCTTGTTTAACACCCCACAGAGCAATATTCCAGCTACATGATGGGAACCCTGAATATAAAGAAGTCTGATCAAGACAATCCAGTGACCGATATTGTGAGCAACGATTCACGCTGTCAGACATGCTATCAATCAAGTCACTGAGCCTGACCACCTGATCCATTTGGTTGCCTTTTACGACCAGCATAGGTAGCTTAGGACCTATTCCCACAGGGGGTTTCATACGATATTCACTATCAACACACACTGTGTCACAACAGAAACTTTGGGTAACTAAAGATTAATGAAACTGTTATCCAGGAATCTGGAAATGACACTTAAGGATTTGCTTTACCCGTCTCCTGTACAAATCCTGTACAACTTACCAATGTTTGCAACATTGTAACCCAGTGCTGCATAGGCTGCAGTCATCCCTGCTTGAGCCCCTGCAATCTCAGCTGCACTTAGCGCTTTCTTTGTGCCTCTCCCCCTGGGCCGCCGACCGACACCAGATCCCCGGGGCCGGCCCCTGCCCCGCCCCCTTTTGCTTGGTGGAGTCGGTGTTGAGGCAACTGGAATCAACACCAGGTGACAATATTAGCATCACAGACATTCGGCAAAGTCGTTAATTCCGTACACATCTTGTCCTGATTCAGGAAATCTCATGTGGGGCAGGAAGGGACAAAGGAAGCATTTTCAATCATTTTGTGTCAATACAGACTTGAAAGGAAGTGTGCGAATTATTAAAGTGTTTAGAAAGTCATAATTTAATAGTGTGATTTGTTGAAATAACATGGATCAAGGCTCACAAAAGCCCATATATTAGCAACACATGGGAGGGTCACTTAACCTTTACTGCAATATATAGTCAAGTTCATTCCTATCCAAAGATACAAAATGCAGCTTTGTTTAAGTAAAAATAATGGTTAATTTCATGGAAGGTAAAACAATTTCATGTAATCATCCTTGAATAAAAGACAAGACTGACTTTCCTCAAGCCCAAGGTATTGCAGGTTAAAGATTGTGGAAGCTAACAGAAAGGGGCAGTACTGACTAACGGAGGGCACATATTTGTTAAGTGAATCTGGGATTTGAACCTGCAAGCAGCAGATCTTAGCAGCTAAGGGCCTTAACTCAGTACAGCTAATTGCACCAGGGATGTTATATCTGAAGCTATGGTGACATATTTGATGATAAGAGTATGATTCATCACATGGACATTTTAAACAAGCAAACGCCGTCAGTCTTATAAGAAAGATTACCTGGTGGGTATGATGTGTGGGCATCGTCAACTATGACCAGTCCTCCATCGTTGCTACTGTCTTCATGCGTGGCAGCAAATAAAGCTTCACTTCCCACTGACATCTGCAGGAGAGAAGTACATGTTAACTTAAACACCACACCAAACACAGTGGGGAGGAATACACTAAAGACAAAATAACCATATAGTTCATAAAAACATAAGGAACTTCTGATTACCTCTCCAAGTGAATTAATGTTACTGACTAACTGTGTCTTCATAGAGCCTCCTTGTTGCTGGCTAGCTGAAGCATATAGAGACTTTTTGTTGCTGGATAACTGAGGCCATATAGAGCCTTCTTGTTGATGGTTAACTGAAGCATATAGTGACTTTTTGTTGCTGGATAACTGAGGCCATATAGAGCCTTCTTGTTGCTGGTTAACTGAAGCATATAGAGACTTTTTGTTGCTGGATAACTGAGGCCATATAGAGCCTTCTTGTTGCTGGTTAACTGAAGCATATAGAGACTTTTTGTTGCTGGATAACTGAGGCCATATAGAGCCTTCTTGTAGCTGGTTAACTGAAGCATGTGGAGCCTTCCTGTTGCTGGCTAGCTGAAGCATATAGAGACTTTTTGTTGCTGGATAACTGAGGCCATATAGAGCCTTCTTGTTGCTGGTTAACTGAAGCATATAGAGACTTTTTGTTGCTGGATAACTGAGGCCATATAGAGCCTTCTTGTTGATGGTTAACTGAAGCATATAGTGACTTTTTGTTGCTGGATAACTGAGGCAATATAGAGCCTTCTTGTTGCTCGCTAGCTGAAGCATATAGAGACTTTTTGTTGCTGGATAACTGAGGCCATATAGAGCCTTCTTGTTGCTGGTTAACTGAAGCATATAGAGACTTTTTGTTGCTGGATAACTGAGGCCATATAGAGCCTTCTTGTTGCTGGTTAACTGAAGCATATAGAGACTTTTTGTTGCTGGATAACTGAGGCCATATAAGAGCCTTCCTGTTGCTGGTTAACTGAAGCATATAGAGACTTTTTATTGCTGGATAACTGAGGCCATATAGAGCCTTCTTGTTGATGGTTAACTGAAGCATATAGAGACTTTTTGTTTGCTGGATAACTGAGGCCGATCAAATGTGTATGACCACTATACAAATGATACAACTTAGAAAATGAGAATGTGACAAATGAAAAGTAACACATCCATATTGTTTTCCTTTCTCATATATTCAGATAGGGTTTCATACTTTCCACGCAAAACATCTGACACCATACTGATGTAAACAGTACCCGTGAGAAGTGTCTGCATATAGGTCTTGATCTCCTGAGCAGTTATTCCCAGTATGTAGATAGAAGAAGACAAGGTAAACAATAACACTGGGGCACAGAGGCTGGAGATAAACCCCGGAACCCATCTGTCAGCAGGAGACATCTTCATCAGGTTACACACTACACTGATACCTACATTGTTAGGTTGCACTCCATTGATCTAAGGAGGAGTTGATAGGCAACTATGCTACAACAAAGGTACTCCTATCTTGCTGGGGAATGTCATACATTTGGAAGATTTTGAAGAAATTTGATCACATAACTGACTCTGACACTACTATGAAAGACCAATTACTTTTGTTACACGGATCACAGACCAAGACTTTTGGGGAAATGAAGGGAAAAGAAAGAAGGCAACTGTGAAGGCACCAAAATGCAGTTAACTACAGTAAACTATGCTTATAACGAACTGACGGATATAATGAACTTACTTTTTTGGTCCCGACTATTTGCTGTAGTTATGCTGTATATATGCTTATAACGAACTACGGTTATAACGAACTAAAATTAGTAGTCCCTTTGAGTTCGTTATAACCGTACTTTCCTGTAATTTAGAGTAAAGTTTTACATAATATATTTTATATATGTTTCATATGGAGACGTCATAAAGTTTGGAAATATTTTTTTCTGATCCTTTATCTGTAAGAATTCAATATCTTTTCAGGCTATTCTGAAACCTGAAACAAACCTGTTCAATAATCGGAAATGATTTGATTATGACTTTTGAAACATTGGACAGGTGCATCGAAGATAAAAGTTTTTACAAAAGGACTAATTACTAAATTGTTGTGGTTGTCTAAATAAGGGCCAATTGGTAGACATGTCGAAGTTTGCAACTTTTTTCAAATATGGTATATTTATATAAGGTGAAAATAAAACCTTTTAACGACAGGCAAATTATAAGAGTTGAGGGCAAGATTTTCTGTTGCTCTTGAAAATGAGAAAAGAATGATGACTTTATCAAGTAACAGGCGATGACTTCGAATCAGTTGTCAAATTAGTGCAAACAATAAATATGGAACTTAATTAGGACATACACATAGGCATCAGCCCATAATTCACAGCAGCATATATCACATGTGTTGAATGTGTGTAAATTAGACCTCTACATGCTTTCTCTTGAAATATCAAGGGCAAAGAAGCATTGTCTACAACTCAAGTCCTGCTGGGAGTTAGCGTAGATAAAGTGTGCTATTGTCTCACTCTAACATGACAACACATGCTCTATCTACAATCCTAGACATCAGTTGCCATTTCCTTCCTCTTTCAACAAGCAGAGGGAAAGCTCTATGGATAAATCATGGCAGTTCTACAGAAGGCTTAGATAAGTTACTTCACTATCAGCACAGCAGCGACAACATTTTTGTCATCGCTGTTTTTAAAGTGTCAGGTTGCTCCAGGCATTTCTTTTGCACTTAAACATTTTTACTGGCATCTTTGAAACATTTATACTTTTTAAAAGTATCTCTAATATGATCGGCAAGATTCTTAACATTCTGTAGATAGCTTAATGACATTTGAACAGAAGATAGATATTTCATTTCGTAGACTTATTTTCACAGTAATTTCATGCAGATGCCGTTTCAAAGAGAAACTTTTTCACTTGATTTGTAATTCAACATGGAGCACACTTTAAGTCCCAAGGACAGTAAATGAATTCCACACCACGGAGTAGCGAGTAGTAAGAATGCCATGGCCTAGGTTGTTCCCTTCCTACAATCACAGGCAAGTTAAACATACAATTGTCTCAAACCTCTTCCAAACTCTAACATGAAATGATCTTTCCACCAATCATTTTTGATTTCATTTGACTTTCTTGAAAAAGTAATTTTAATTACATGTCCAATGTAAAACTATCAGAGTGTTGGATTACTCTGTAAGTTCTACAAGATGTGCATCTTCGTAACACAATCTTCAGACCTCATAGGTATCGAATATAGACTTTGGATAAATTTGCAACAACAGGTTCAACAAAAAAGAACTGATCGATAATTATGACCAGAATAGGTTGCATGGAGCCAATGCTAACCTGGAATCCCCACAGGCGAGATGTGTGAGTGATCAAGGCAGTAGGGATATATGCTGCAGTCTGCAATACCTGACACATCATAGAAGCCTGTAGTATGGGGCTGTATCAGGCAAACCAGTGATGGATAGCATGACATATGTTCGGATTGTTCCAGTAGCATACACAGTTAGAGTCTGTTGTGAGTTGCTGTCTCAGGTAGGAAGAAAGTGAGCAGTTCAAAATATTAGTGGATAAAAAAGTGAGTGAGTGAGTGAGTGAGTGAGTGAGTGAGTGAGTGAGTGAGTGAGTGAGTGAGTGAGTGAGTGAGTGAGTGAGTGAGTGAGTGAGTGAGTGAGTGAGTGAGGTTCAACACCACTTTCAGCAATATTCCAGCAATATCATTTTAGGGGACACCAGAAACAGGCTTCACATTGTACCCATTTGGGCAATCAAACATGGGTCTTCAGTGGAAGGAGCAAACACTTAAACCACTTTGCTACCCCACCACCCTATAATCTTAATTCCCTAAGCTGGGGGCCTGGTTGGTTTACTGTTTTCCATCAGACAAGATCAATTTCTCAGGGTTTTCATAGTTCAAGTCAATAAATAACAGCTCTAATTGTCATATTTTCAGTCTGAAATTGAACAGCATCACCATCATAGGTAAAATTGATGAAACACAAGAAACCTTTCCAACTGTGAGGCTGGGGTTGGGGTTAGTCTGCAAACTTATGACTGACATTGTAAGCTGTTCCCTAAATCACAAAAAAATTCTCTACTCAGGAACCAATGAAGTCACTACTTTCTAGTTTGACAATCTTACAAGCAATGTGCACTTAGAAGCCGGGAAGGGCAGGATGACACTGGATGTCATGGATGACAAATTACTATCTTATTGATTTTATCATAATAATTAGACTGTCAATCTAGAGAAGGAAATGGATAAACATCTAGGGGTGGGCAACAACAGCAGTTTGTGGCCACATTAGGGGAAACTGAATCACCACTTACCACACTTTGTGGACTAGTTGGAACTGACACAGAGTCTACACTTGCAACAGACTCTGTATCTGGGGCAGGGATTGTCAGATTGGAATCATCCACCTTGGACCTCTTTCCTTCTCGTTTCTGAAACACAAAACAACATTCTCATCAGGACATTTTATCTAGACATCATTATGTGTTCCAGTTATTTCAGTCAGGCCAGACTGTTTTTATACTTGGTTTACTAATCTGCTGCCTCCAAACAATTAAAATGTGAAAAAGAGGAAAGAAGAAAAAGGGAGAAGACGCCATGTTTGTTTTTTATCCCGCTGACCAGAAAAATGGAAGTAAAATATTGCAAAATGAAACATCATATAAAACTTGTTGAAAACATATCTTAAACACTTCAAAACACAAACGAATTATGAGAACCCTTTTCCTCCCACTGTAAACATCAAAAGAGGAAAAAGAAAGAAAAGGTCTGGCTATATCATGGTCTCCTGCCCAGTATTAGGCCTGGAATAGCCAAACCAGAGACTGACAACATAGGCCCAGGTGTTACAACACAGCTGATCAGTCATTGTGTCCATCTGATCCCCATGTCACTAGTCTGTCAGAACACTCACTTGGCACGCAGAAGTATTGGGTTCTCACCAAAAGTAACCTTCTTGCCAGTGGAAATATCTGTATTTTCACAGTTTTAAACCTACAGCATACCATCTTTCGAAAGTTTACTGCTGTACTATTTCAGTGAGTGAGTGAGTGAGTGAGTGAGTGAGTGAGTGAGTGAGTGAGTGAGTTGGATTTAACACTGCCTTTAACAGTATTACAGTTATATCGCGGCGTGTCAGCTTAATGTGTGAGGAAAGCCATGAGTACGGGTATGGTGCTGACAAACCTAGAAACATAGTTGGGGCGAACCGGGATTTGAACACACAATCATAGGTTTCTGGCTTGCCCAAAGAACGCAACTCTGGAAAGCGAATCACGTCGCGTGCCCCCTATTTCAATGAATGAGTGAGTGAGTGAGTGAGTGAGTGAGTGAGTGAGTGAGTGAGTGAGTGAGTGAGTGAGTGAGTGAGTGAGTGAGTGAGTGAGTGAGTATGGTTTTACGCCGCTTTTAGCAATATTCCAGCAATATCAAGGCGGGGGACACCAGAAATGGGCTTCACACATTGTATCCATGTCAGGATTCGAACCCGGGTCTTGGGCGTGACGAGCGAACGCTTTAACCACTAGGCTACCCCACCGTCCTCTATTTCAATGAAAAGATCACAAAATCTATAAATTTTAACATACAGGTTATGACAATAACCCCTTGACGTTAAATATAAGAGACTGAATGCAATTATTCAGGCAAATGCTTGGAGTGGAAAAAGAATTACCGTTCCCTGTAGAGTGCTTGTATCGCTGACCATACTGACCTTGTATTCTCGTTTTCGTTTTCTGTCTTCCTTGCTCTGGCCATCTCTCCCTCTTCTCTCTTCTTGCCGTGATCGTACTGCAGAGAACATGCATCATCATTACCTCTCACTAGTCACTAGAGCATTAGGTTTGTTTGTATGTTGTTTAATGCCGCACTCAGCAAAATTCCAGCTATATGATGGCGGGCTGTAAATAATCGAGTCTGGACCAGAAAATCGAGTGATTGACATCTTGAGCATTGATCAACTCAATTGGGATACGATGACATGCATCAACCAAGTTAGCGAGCCTGACCACCTGATCCCGTTAGTCGCCTCTTACGACAAGCCTTTTAAGGCAAGCATGGGTTGCTGAAGACCTATGCTACCCCTGATCTTCACGGGTCCTGGAGCATTAGGATTCAATCATCCCAATTGTATCAGTAAGAAGCAAAAGTACCTAAGTCATATAGTTATGTAGAAGTTATAAACTGATCTCCCTTTCATTTATTACAAGGAAACCTTATCATTACAATTAGAGAATTTGATTTAAATTATATAACTTACATTTCTTTTCCATCTCATCATCATCAATAAGCAGGGACACAACCTCCTTCGGTTTGAGTGTGTCAGGCCTGAAATTGCCCCCCTGAATAACCATTCTCTGGATCTGGAAACATATACAAAGTTCAACTACCTGTAATCAAAGTTCATACAGATTTTATTTTAATTCATATGAAATTGTTTTGAGAATAACCAAACTGTCTCCCCTACCGGGTAAATTGTCATCAGCACTACTTACACAAAACTGTCATCGGTTTTACTTCCACTAAACTGTCATCGATGTTAATTACAATAAACTGTCATTAGCGTTACTTACACAAAACTGTCATCTACCTTACTTACACTTAACTGTCCTCGATTTTAATTATACTTAACTGTCATCTGCCTTACTTACACTAAACTGTCATCGGCTTTACTTACACTAAACTGTCATAGGCTTTACTTACACTAAACTGTCATCAGCTTAACTTACACTAAACTGTCATTGGCTTCAGTTACACTAAACTGTCATCAGTATTACTTACATGTTCCAAATGAAATTAATGATGGTTAATACAGCTTCAAGAGCTTTTCAACAGATGAAATTTAGTAGCGGGGTGTTAATTTTATTGGTGTAAAAAAAGCAGGCTTATTATGATATCCAACCACATTCAAGATGAGTAGTTTTGCATCCGTTACCTCGCTTTTCTCCTTGGCTCTCTGTAGAATTCTCTCTTCAATAGTCCCCTTACAGATGAGCCTGTACACAGTGACCTGCTTGGTCTGGCCCAGACGATGGGCTCGATCCATAGCCTGTTGATCTACAGTTGGGTTCCAGTCACTGTCATAGAATATCACCTGCAATACAATTGTCAGTGAGTCAGCAATGCTTAGTCACCCGTTAGAAAATGAACTGACTATGCAACGGTGACACAAAGTTGCAAACAACGGCTGTACACCTAACTTCCATGAGATCTATAATGTAATGAGTTACACACTGACCACTAGACCAGCCTATCCTTCAGCCACTCAGTTGATAATGGTCTATCTGTTCTGACTTTCTACACGACACTTAAAGACTAGTTGTGGCTAGGAGATGAAACATATCTTTTTGAATTAACTACTTAATATGAATAATTCAATAAGCAACCTTATTGCAAAGAACGAATGAGTTTGATTTGATGCTGCTTTTAACAGTGTTTCAGTAGAATCATGGCATGTCAGCGTAATGTGGGAGGAAGGCTGAAGATTTAATGCTTCGTATATTGAGCAATATTTCCCTGGACTCGGGCTTCACACTAGTGGCTGCATAAAATGAACAGACAAAGATACTGATTCAAGATATTCACAGAAATGTTTAATTGTTGAACAAACATATGCTATCCAAAATTGAAGAGGAAAGAGTAAGAAGTTTTGTTTCTTTACATAACATTCTGCAAGTACTCAAAATCTTAAGACAAGCCAATGGCAGGATGCATGGATCTAATAACTGGGGTACAATGACACATAATCACCCAGATCTCTCTCTCTCTCTCTCTCTCAACAAGAGTAAGTCTTTCGAAGCAATTATATGGAATCTTCAGCGCATAAATTATCTTAAAGATTTTCTGACACATCTCTCAGTGTTAAGTTTTGTTGTTCTGATTGTTTGTTTGCTGTCTAACGCCGCACTCAGCAATCTTCCAGCCATATGACAGCGTTCTGTTAATAATCGAGTCTGGACCAGACACTCCAGTGATGACATCATGAGCATCGATCTACACAATTTGGATACGATGACATGCATCAACCAAGTCAGTGAGCCCGACCACCCTATTGTGTCAGGCGCCTCTTACAACCAGCATGAGTTGAGGATCAATTTTAACCTGGAACTTCACAGGTCTCAAAACTAAGTAGTATTGTGAGGTCCTTGATGTCTTCCATGTATTTTAATCTAGGGTCCTTTAGAGTCATGACAAGGACCCTTGGTTATCATCATATGTAGCACTGATCTCTCACTTGTTTTTTTGCTTAAACAGATACAAGAAAAACATTCAGCATAACAGTCTAAGGGGAATAACTCCATCATGACTAATCTAAATTCACTGGTACATAAAGCTTAAAACTAAATGTTGTGTTTTTAACACTTACAGTGTCAGCAGCAGTGAGGTTGATTCCCAGACCACCGGCCCTCGTACTCAGCAGGAAAACAAAGATGTCAGATCGATTCTGGAAATCTGCTACCATGTCACGCCTCTCAGAGATCTTCGAAGATCCATCCAGTCGCATGTAGGTATGTTTACGGTACCACATGTATTCCTGAAACAAAAATAAATGCTCTAGCAATGTGAAACTATCATGCCTGCTTCTGTTGCAGTTCATACGGAATGACAAATTTGGTTGTTCAAACCAGAACCATCTGTCAAATTTGTTTGTGATGTTGTTTAACGCCACACTGTAATGCAATCTGTAAACAATCGAGTCTTGACCAGACAATCCAATGATTGACATCATGAGCATCGATCTACACAATGGGTTGGTGAAGTCCAATTCTAACCCAGATCTTCATTGGTGTAAAATTTGTGAACAGTTCACTCATTTAGAAATACTGAAAGTTTAGAACTGCACATCAAACTGTTTAGTATTTACACTGAACTTTATTGCCTGCTAAATTTGTCATCTTAACCGCAATAGATTTACTTCAATTTTCTCAAATTCTCCCAAAGAAGTTTCTGTTTTACAGATCGACTTTTTCAGATTTCAAATAAATTTATATTTGCCATAATCTTTCTTTTCACTTAGCGTCCATATTAAGCAGACCTAAAAGTGAAGGTTGATCAAATCCCAAAGCCTTTGGGCAAGTTCTTTCCCTTTGAAGAATCTGTCATATCAGTCATAGATGTGTCAATATAACACTTAATGAAGGCAGGTGTAACTGTTAATGTCGGATTCATCTTAAGGTAAAGAAAGTAGAAAAACAGAAATGATCTAATTTGGGTCTGGCCTTAATTTGCCATTGACGATAAGGGACTGACTTTTTGCTATTTTGGGGGAGCCTGGGAATTTTGTTTGACACAGAATATATTTTCAGTCAACGCTTCAAGACATAAAATATATTTTGCTAGGAGGAGCTAAACAATATTTTTAAAACACATTCTTTTTTCACATCAAGCATGTGTAGTGAATGAGTTGTTTGATGTTTCCCCCCAGCATTTGTTGGAACAGACTGATTATCTAATATTTGTAAAAATCTTTATTTATAATCCCAAGTCATATGGTTGGTCCATCCCTAAGACCACCGTTGGACCAGTGGCATAACAAATTGCATTACCTTCCTTATTCCTGTTACTGAATGCAAAAGAATCAAAACATGTACAAAAAGTTAAGATAAATATACTTTCTTTGTATACAAATAGTAACAGGCAGCATGTAATCTGTAAGGTTTTGATTCTATTTACTAAAATTAAAACAAAAATGTTCATATCTGAAACAAATTATTTTGTCATGAATGGCATCTGGTCGATGCCAGCTGAGTCCCATTTCTCCTAATAGTTTCCTATTTCCTGTCCTGAAAAACCCTCATCAGCTGCTTCTGAATATTCACACTTAGACTCAACATTGCTCAGCTGGTTTCTCTTCCTCATAACAGATTCAAGACAAAAAGAGAAATGAAGGTGGTCTGATGCTGGACCATACCAATGATATGGGGGAGCAATTACTTCCTGTACAAACATATCATATGACAATTGAGCAAAATCTGTCAATTTGTTGTGAATTCTGTTGAAAACCTATCAAAAGACCGGTTGGTGCAGAAAAAGCCTGTCACAGTCGGATCTATTGTCTACATCAAGAATCTATTTACTACAGAAAAACATTATAAACTCTTATTTGCTGGCTGGAATTTTGACAAAAAATATGACAAGTAATCTTCTCAACCCTTAACCATGCCACTCACAAGGACAAACTCAAAGAAAGGTAACGCTTTTAAATGTTACATTCACCAAATGTAATTATCGAGAATAAGTAGAGAACACAAGAAAATAACATTCTCAGAATCACATTTAACTTTGAAACTCAATCTCCCATTTTTGATGAGGTTATGTTCAGTTTGCCGATACTTCCAATAGACTTTGAAACTTGAGGAAACCATCTAACTAAAACCCCTGGAAGTGCGTGTGTAAACGCCAATGAAATAAGCCAATTTCCGTCAATTGATCTATCGCCAATCTCTCACCCAGCAAGCCCTAAGGGCTCCACCTGGTGGTGGCTGTCACAATACAGGTCACAGCCAGGTGATTACTTGGACAGGGTGTGGGGGTCACCATGGGGTAGCCATGTGACCCCCTGTGTACCCTAGGGTGTGTTTACCTGGTCCCTGCCCCCCTGCACTGCAGCCACCCACCTGTAGAACACCTGGGCTACACGATGAGGGGCAGGTGGAGATGGAGGGTGTGTACACGTTGATAAACATCATCACATGGATTAAGTAACCATAATAACAATTTCCTGGGATGACTTGATCATTTGAAGGAATGCCATATTTATCGGGACTAGTCACATACATAGACGATCAACTGAATGCCAACAAAGTTGAGATAAAATAATTTAAATACCTCCAAAGAGCTTGAAAATCTACCCTGAACCCGATCTAATCTGAACAAAACAAAGTTCGGGATTATAAATATTTTGGGGGATATTTTTACAAAATTGTGCACTCAGTCTTCACTACAAATAAATATCCCCCAAAATACTCATGATCCCTAACTTTGTTTTGTTTGGTATAGTACAAGCATAACTAGCTCTCTGTACATACAGCATTCAAAATTAAGCATGAAAGCACCCCAGGACTCCCCTTAATTATGTTAATTTTGAACACTCTATATAACATTGGATATAAGTAATGATCAGGAGGACTGTGCAAATTTCTAATTCAATACAGATTTATTATTATTATATATATATAGATATTATATATCATGCATTATACTAGATAAAAGCATTGTCGATCTCTTTAATTGTCATCTGTTTAAAATCTTTTGCTGCAATTGATATAAGTGTGCAAGGCATGAATTTGGGAATCACTAAATATTTTTGTACTTCCTATGACAAACAATAAAAATAAAATAATCCATTTTAATCCCTACATACACATCTACCATGTCTAAGCCATCTTTGTAAGATTACAGTAGCCTGCCAAACTTCAGACAGAAAAGTTATGAATACACAATGATATTCAGAAAGTGGTCAAATGTAACAGATGTTATATTTGGGATAACATTTCCTTAGTAAAGTACAAATTCTAGTTCTTTATTGGGTTGAGTCTGAGAGTGTGGGTTCAAATCCCGCTCTCAACCCCCAAAAGTACTAGAATTTGTACTTTACCAAGAACGTGTTATCCCAAATACAACATTAGAAATGTTAGAAATGTCAAGACCTGAAAATCACTTTCCATAAATCCATTGATTTTATCATAAGCGAAATATTCTTCATCTGTTTCATTCTTTAAAAAAATTATTCTATTTCAGAACTACCTAAAGTGCAGCCACACTGGAGAAGAGAGAAACAAAATAATAGAATGACAATTCAATTTGTAAAAATGTTGTCATGCTTAGACGAGGCAAACAAATACTTATAAAACGCCAAAAGCCAAACATGGAATGAAATTTGCCCAATTAAACTCATGTTATTGACAAGGACAGATGGCAAGACTCTTGATGAACACTGTAAATATGAGAAAAAGATTAATAGAGTCTGTGCCTGACAATCCCAAAACTCAATCAGGCTTAAGAGGGCACAGTGACCCACAGATCCGGGTGTTTTTTCCTGGAATTCTAATGAACTTGGACCAATGAGTCAGGGAAACTGGGGTATTAATCTTCATGACATGTCGTCCTGACCTGTTGTAGGTTCTATAATTGCCTGATTCATCCGTAAATGTTGGTATCACTCAGAGTTCACAATCTAGGCTCATAACAGCAACGAAGACAGATTGATTCTCAAGCTAGGCCTATTAAACATTCACGTCAAAATAAAAGATAAGTGTTTTATTGAACTAGGTTTATCAATCATTCAAAGAGAACTAGTATTTTCATTATTTTAAATGAATACATAATAAGGACAACTACATCAATAACTAAACTAGGATACACATTAATTATTACAAGTATCAAAAAATGTCTTAATAACTGAATTCATTTAATAGATATATTTCTTTAAGATCTACACTGTGACTAAAGTGAGCAAGTGAATGAGTTGGGTTTAACGCTGCTTTGAACAATATTCCAGTTATATCACAGCAAGGAGGGAGGAAAGCCTGAAGTGATGCAGGTCTCAGACATTTACCACTTTGGTGAAACCCATGATCACAGGTATGGTGCTGACAAACATAATCCGGTGAAACTATAATTAAAAGTATTGATGGACACATTGATTGATGCAGACCAAGTAATTTTCTAAAATTTGCAAAACTGAAAAGTTCCAGTCCTTTGAATTTGCATTTTATATCTTTGAAAATTCTGAAGGAGAATTACTGTGCATAATATTCGAAATATTTTTTTCTCTCCAAAATACTTAATCCGTTAGGGGGGTGGGGTGGTGGTGCGCACTATACTCAAGAAATTATGGTAATAAGAAACTATGTTAAAATATGTTTCTAGATATTTTTTCTCCTCATACCTTGTTTCCTGGAGGGAAGTGCAAAAATGTGAGATAATAATTATAAACAGAGACATTGCAAAGGTAGTGTTTACATCGGAAACTCTATGCCATTAGGTAGACAGACATTATTCTGTGTGCTCAACAACCCTCATTTCTGTGGGCACATCTGTTGTAGCCAGTGAGGACAGTGTGACAGTGAGCATCTACCAGCTGCCTGTCGGTGCTGTTGGCATCATCAGTACCAGGGAGACAGCGTAATCAGACAACACAGTTGCTGTCAATTGAGTAATCACCTTCACCAGGAATCAATGCTACACCCAGGACATTGTGACCTCCATCAGAGGTGAGGTGAAATTGGGTTTAACGTCGCGTCCAAGATTATTGCACTTATATAGCGACGTGCATGCAAGTGTGTGTGTGTGTGTGGCTGCTTGTACTAGTCCGGACTAATGCCGATTTATAGTGCTAGCTCACTGAGATACCATGCCGCAGTTTAACATGAATACCCCACTCAGACACAGTATACTGACTCCGAGCCGACCAGTCCTTGTTTTAGCCTCTTAATGCCGAGTGCCAGACAGGGTAACAACAAGTACCATCTTTTAACGTCTTTTGGTATGACGCGGTCGGGGATCGAACCCCGGACCTTCCGCTCTCCAGGCGGACGCTCTACCACAAGACCACGGAGGCGGCACGACCTCCATCAGAGCAAAGGAAAAACTTAAAACATTAATAATAAGACTAATGAAATCAAAAGGACCAATGAAGACAGGAATCTTAACCTTTACAACCTATGACTATCTATTAGAACAAGACTGCAGGGTATTACAGGAAAACTGCAATACACTTTTCATATAATACATATTGCAATAATTTTGTGTTCCGGTATATTGGGTAAAAAATAACCTAAAATCTACAGAGAAATTCATTCACAAATGATGTTTGTCATCTTGTCTAATGGGAAAGGTAGGCTTTGAGATGCTGACATTATTTCACATTTCAAATTTAAACAAGCATTAGAAACTCTGCTTTCTTCCAAATCTAGTCATTCATATTTGAAAACTACTTACATTAAACTTTTCACTAAAAGTCAATACACATGCACAACAGGGCTCTCCTTGTATTACTCGTGAAGATGCGGGGTAGAATAGGTCTTCAGCAACCCATGCTTGCCGTAAAAGGCGACTATGCTTGTCGTAAAAGGCAACTAACGGGATCGGGTGGTCAGGCTCGCTGACTTGGTTGATGCATGTCATCGATCCCAAGTGCGTGGATTGATGGTCATGATATTAATCACTGGATTGTCTGGTCGATTATTTACAGACCTCCGTCATATGGCTGGAATATTGCTGAGTGCGGCGTTAAACAACCAACCAACCAATTGCATTACTCAAGCCTTCCACAACACAACAATGTTGTCGTTTCAGTCTGATCATATTTTATCATATCCAATATGGTTTTCTATCATAGTCTCATAATATCCAAAGAGTTAGAACCAAAATGGGTTGGACTGTGCAAAATAATGCTCTATTTGTTTTATTAAATTCCCGTTAAATCTACACTTAAAGTTTGAGTCTATGCTCATGATGTGACTGATTTTCTTAATTTTGACAGCAATGTAAGTGTTATGAAAAATTCAGGCTATCACAGTGTTAAAACGAAAGTCAATCTGTCTTTGTCATAACACAAAGAAAACATATTAGTGTCCCTAGATTAAAGTACCTTAGCAGAAGCCTGCATGGACCCGACAGCAACTCCCCTTTTGATTAGCACACATCATAGCTATGTTAATTGGGACTAGCTCAAATAAAACAGTGTTCTAGTGGGTGTCAGATGTGACTTTCACACATGAGTTTCAGACTAAATTAAAGAAGTTATCCCACTTGCAATACTTCACACCTTCACAGCTGCACATAAGTGAGTGAGTGAGTGAGTATGGTTTTACGCCGCTTTTAGCAATATTCCAGCAATATCACGGCGGGGGACACCAGAAATGGGCTTCACACATTGTACCCATGTCGGGAATCGAACCCAGGTCTTCGCTGTGACGAGCAAACGCTTTAACCACTAGGCTACCCGACCGCCTCCAACTGCACAATAAGTAAGAAAAGGTGATATTCACTGCTGAGAGACAGTCTGTCTCAGTCCCTGAACCACATTATATTCCCTTTCGCCCACCTCTTACATTAATGCTATATTCCTAAATGAAGCAAGTCTAGATTTCCACAGGTGCTTGATCTCCCATCTCACTGGGGCTTCTTTCAATTGAAATGTAGTTGTTTGTTCCCACCAAAACTATATATTTTAGAGACTAATAGGGCTGCAACAAATACACTATGAGGCGAATACAGTTCATATCATGAATATAGGGTAATGAATACGAATAATCGGAATATTAATTCACAAATACAATAACAAGTCAGCAGCTGATGTATAATTTGTTATATTCAGTGAAACAACAACATAAATTATTTGACATAGTTTGTTTACTATTAATATATTAGACATTTATATTCTGCCCTTATCCAGGTACTAGTATCTGTTCAAATGTAACAATGACCAGTGACCACAATACTATCAAAGTAAGTATTATAAGAGTTGTTTTTGAAGAAATCTATGCTTATGATATGTTGTTCTTATGGATATTTGTAGGTACAGGGTATTTAAATGCACATGATTGCATATATTAATAAATATTTGATTCAACAAATTCAATTCATGAATAGATACAGTTTGATTCACTGCATACACGAGTGAATCGTGACAGCCCTAGAGACTAAGTATTAGTATAAGACACAGTGAGCCCATCTGGAGGAGGGAACATACAGCTTGCTTGTCAATGCCAAAATCTCTGCATTCTGAGTAACGAAACAAGGATAAAACCATTTGTAGTCTGACACATAGATTCAGCCTTGTTTTGTGTTTGATTTTCTGCATAAAATAAAACATGTCAAACAGCTACACTAGGGTCACCGAAACACAAAACCCTTTGACCTTTGTGGTCACCACCTGACATGTATCTGTGACCTGTGCTGTGATTTCTGTTGCACCGAAAGCCCTTTCTGTTGAGGAAGTCCCAATAATGATGGGTTTACAAGGCCTTATTACATGGCTAACTACCCGCTTCCAGTGGCTGGTAACCCTACCAGGGTCTTAGTGGCCATAATGGGCTGTGCCTTCACCAGTGAGAGATAGGCTGACAAAGGGCCCAATAGTGTGACAGACAGTGAGTGTCCCGAGATGACTCTGAGGGCACCGAGTGACAGACATACAGCAATATTACACCCAGCATGTCCCTGCCTCACATCTACACATGCTGATACCATAGGACACATGCTCTGTCTCTTCTTTTCACGTCAAGCGGAAATCAGTATTTTCCATTTAGATCTATTGTTGGTGGCAATCTGGAAATCTTGAAACCTGTCATATCTCATCCCATCGCCACCTGATGGGATGAAGCTTGTCAAATTCATATTGAAAGTCACTACGGAATGATAACCGGGGTCATAGGATGGATTTTCAGTTTTTCCTTTGACAGAGGCTGGCAGTTTAATTCCTTCTCTTACAAATCACTGAATCCCTGATGCAGCTAATAGCGAGATCGCTTTCTACTTGACAGCTTGTCTCATGAGACTGTTGAAACTCACTATGGTGAAAGATGGGACTGATTCCGATGTCATTAGGGCTCATGGCCAGAGTCATGAGACAATGTATCCTGATATGATATACTTCTAAATATACTGCAGGGTTTGATATGACTATTATTGCACAGCATGGGTGTTGATGCAAGGAAACAATACAATATCTATCATAATACAGAGGATACAGCACAATTGAATATTTATGTCAAATCTGATCATTTTAAGCATGCTGGATCATGTACATTGAAAATAAATAGCAGACCCTTTATTGTTTCAGACCAAGTCATCAGTACCGTAACCATTAAATAAGTGTCAAGTGTTTTACTATTCCATAAAGGTGTTTGTATGAATGTTTTTCAATCTTTTAATGGTGAAAACTTGTAATTGAGCAATTCCTCCTTCGCCTTTCAATTACCACATGAAACTAAGTCTTGACTAACACATGAGTTTTGAAAAGGAATCACAAGAATAAAAATTTTGTATTGTACAGAACACCCTTGTAGGGCAGGGTACAAACTATCTACATATGGAATAAATATAATTATAAACAAGATTACTGTATTCGACGTAATAACGCCCAGGGTGCTCTCAAAATTACAAATAGGGGGCTCTTATTAGAATATCACTTTGGTGAAAAAAACAGAGTTGAAAGATAAATTTCGTGGTTTATGCTGACAGTCTGAACTGTTTATATACGACAGATACATTTTTCCAGAAATTAATTGCCCATAATTAAGGGTGCATGTAACACACGAGTGCGTATTATACACGAATAAATAAGTCTTGTGTACATTGATAAATCGGAAGGGGGGCTAATTGGGATTGTTCACTTGCCAATATATTTGCAAATATCGCCGTGGGCGCTTATTAGAGCGGGGCGCTTATTACGTCGAATACGGTAACTATACTTTTCGTACCATCTAACGTTTAAGCCCCTGTTTGTTTCATTTGGGACATCAGTTGACCCAGTGATTAAATTGGGCTGCCATTTATTCAAGGATTCCTGATAAATCATGGCAATACCGGTCTAAGGGTTGTCAGCACTCACCTCCAGCAAGTCAATCATTCGGGTCATCTGGGAGTAGATGAGGACTCTGTGCCCATCTCTCTTCAGCCTCTGCAGCAGAGAGTCAAGCACTGTCACCTTGCCAGCATCAGACACCAGGCTCTCTTTGTCTGAGGGAAAACAAGAAGTTCATACTTAAAGCAGTGGCACAAAGTGTACATACTGCTCAAAAGAAGTTTAAGATTGCCTGATTCTTTTATATTTCTATAGTTAATCCATCATGGCCATTACATTACCTATGGTAATATGAAAGAATCAGTAGTATATATACAAATCTACATATGTACAAGCAGGATCCAAGAAATTACATTTGTAACATGCTTTTAATAAAGTATCTTTACAAATTTCCAAAATATCTTTGAAATAATCTACCTTTCACAAATTTATTTTACAAGACGGGGCACATGTTTCTTATATTGTTGGTATGCATACAATACATCCCAGATAAATACATAAACTCCATATGGCAACTGTTTTTGCTTACAGTAAATTGACGATGTTAACTTCTTTACACTTCAAAATCTATGATTTCCCTGAAGAAAAGGTATTTTCAGTCACTATAAACGGCAGACTTTATTGAAACAACTGATTACTCTCATGAAGCTGTATCTTCCAAATTTGCAACAGATTTCAGTTTATCACCAATTTGAATTAAACATGCATTAATCTCTAATGAGAATCATAATTGCAAATTTCTTAATTTTGTTTTGCCTGGCTACATGTGGAGGACCCCAGCCACCCCTGCACATGTCCCAGCTTATCTGCGCGGGCTCCTGTGTCAGCAGAGCTATGACTGACTCAATTGCAGTAATGATGAAATCAGTGCCAGCGCTGCCAGCAACACGACCGACTCGCCAGAGTGTGTTTATCAACATAATTTAGTCATATCAGCTACAGACATCCACACACGAAGACACGTTGTCCTCCTACAGACTACTTAACTAACCATGGATGGGTATCAAACAATAGGGTTTGTGGTGATTACAATATTAGACTGAAACTATAGAACAGTAATATTCCTTCAGCTGCCTCAGACTTGAAAAACTCTTAATACCTTCCTGTCCCTAATACTTAGTTCTGATTGATCCTGGTTGGTTGATAACCTTCATATCAGAGTTTTATCTCCCTTTTCTCACTTCCGCTACACTACCCTTCCTTAATTAATTGATATTTCCCCACCTTGACAAATTAAAATTATCAATAGCACATCAGGTAGGGATCATTATAATTTGGCCAGGTAAAAACACTTAAATAGAAGACATTTTCTTTTGCTTATATTTTATCATCTTTATCAGTTTTCGTCAAATAAAAGAACAAAAGAACCAACTTGTGTGTACTAGAAACACACGGATTACTGTGTCCACAACCCATAGCCTGGCAAAACAAAATTAAGAAATTTGCAATCATGATTCTCATTAAAGATGTGCATGTTCTTCTTAACTACAAGACCGCCTCCGTGGTCTTGTGGTAGAGCGTCCGCCCGGAGAGCGGAAGGTCCAGGGTTCGATCCCGGGCCGCGTCATACAAAAAGACGTTAAAAGATTGTACTTGTTGTTACCCTGTCTGGCGCTCGGCATTAAGGGGCTAAAACAAGGACTGGTCGGCTCGGAGTCAGTATACTGTGTCTGAGTGGGGTATTCATGTTAAACTGCGGCATGGTATCTCAGTGAGCTAGCACTATAAATCGGCATCAGTCCGGACTAGTACAAGCAGCCACACACACACATACACGTGCATGCACGTCGCTATATAAGTGCAATAATCTTGGACGCGACGTTAAACCCAATTTCACCTCACCTCACCTCTTAACTACAAATAGGTAAAAAAATATCATTTTTTACACAATATTTAGTCAATTTAACAAGACAATTGCCTACCTATGAAAACACACAAATGTTTAGAGCTACATAAAAAGAAATATAAAAGCAACTTTTGAAGACCCGAATAACAAAAAATAGTTCAAGTTTAACCAACAAACACGGGGAAAAAACATACATAAGTATCTAGTGACTGATTTGTTTTCGCAAGGCAAAATAAAAATTAAGTTGTGTTGATCAATTGCCCATTAATGTATTGAATAAAACCTTTGTTATGCTGGGATACGACCAAACAGTTTCATTATCTATGACAACATGTCACATTAATTACATTGTTTAGGTAATTTGTAATCTCAAATATTCCCAAAACAAATGCTACACCTCTAAAATGTGCTTAAAAAACAGTTCCAGAACAAATTACCTCAAACTAACCACTTCAACTTGTCAAAACAAACAGACAGGTTTTTAAAGGGCCTGCAGGTTGCCATGTCTAAACACTGAAGATCGTGTTGCATTTAGTTGGATGATCGAAGGATTACAGATAAGTTTGACCATAGCTACTTGTAAACTGGGGGCCAGATGGTGTGCTTGAACATCAATCCTTATTAATACTGAAATTTAGGAGTGAAAAGAAAACAACATACTTGAAACTTATTAGACACAAACACTGGATGAGACCAAGCCGAAGAACGCTATCGTAGCTAATCTTTTATGTAAACTATCAGCCAAAACGTGTAATAAACACAGGATGGTCTGACTCACTGTCTGGGGACTTCATAACAACCACTTGAACATGTTTAATGGCCGGGGGAAAATAATGCATCAAGGATAAAGCACAAGGAGACAGATCAATATGCACATTTTGTGAAATCATATTCTTTACTTTATCATTAATTTATCCAAAATCAGCCAAAATGAGAGAATGGAAATTAGCGATTCCCTGACAAAAACTACAGTGTTGAAATTACCTAGGACTAATTATCAGGTACCAGAAAAACTGGTGTTTCAGATTACTAGGGGACAAAGAAAATATAATGTCACCCCATTTCTGTTTAATAAGGGTCCCTTGTAAACATATTCCTGTAACAAAGCCTGATGTCTTCACAGGTAAACTGACCCATATAATCAAATGAACCTGAAACCTTCTTACATATGCTTCAGCTTCCTGAGGGCAGATAAGCGAAGGTTAAAACAAAAGCAATGAGATCAAATACTTATGGGTGCTCTGAAGATCTGCACCTCCAATCTTTATTTTTTAAAGATTTTTATCTTCTGAAATTCGCTTCCACAGGAGATATCACTTGGATGAGATATTGCTACAATGAAATTGTATCACGATGCTTTGCAGGCCATTTGTGATGGCATAGGTTACTGCGACATCATAAGCAAATGACATCATAAATTATTCTGCCATCGAAGCTGGTTAGCCATACTTTTTACACTCAAATCATTCTCAACTTGAGTTAGATTCAATATTAATTTATTCTCTGGGGACTGGGAGACAGACTGACCAAATACTATGAGTAAACTGTTACATAGAGATTAAATTTATGCCTATAAACTGTCTGAAAATAGCAAGCTAGTCTAAATAAATTAAAACTTCCTGAAACTAAAATTCCACCTTTAAGCTTTCTCAAGTTTCACCATAGCATCTAATACCAACACAGTATTGGCAATATTTTATGTCAATAAAATGAATATGTTGCACTTCACTAGATACTATCCAGACAATTAAAGAGGGGTCTGGGGAGGGAGAGAAAGAGAGGGAAACCTATCCACCCTATTTTTTGATGGGCTAGAAGAGGAAACACTTAATTTGTGTCGGCCTAACAAGTCTGTAGGAACTAATGGTAACGTTCTACTTGTACTTCATCTCTTGTATAATCATGTTAATAGGGACCAGTAATCACTGGAAACAGGAAATGCATGCATTATCAATCCCATCAGGGTCTAATCTGGAACACCTCACCGGGTTTACCCCCAAGTTATTTGACAGCTCCTGGCGACAAAACAGTAAATATTGGTACAGGGATAACCAGTGACAAGATCTGGGACCATCTGTCTGTCAGCTGGGCCACATCCCCTGCAGTGATCAGCAGGAGCGACCCTAGCCTGTCTCACAGTCCCTGAACCATGTTATTTTCTCTTCTGTTATAAGTTTCTGCTGTTATGCTATAGACATACATGAAGCAAGTCTAGACTTCCACAGGTTCACTGGGGCACCTTTTCAATTTATATGGAATTGCTCGTTTCTATAGTCATATATGTTTAGAGACACCCAAGTGAGGGGACATTGCTATAGAGGTGGTGATTGAAACCTTGGGTGGGGAAATAGCTGAAATTTTCCTTTCATATATATATCGACTCAAAAGAATCCCGAAATATCGATTTACTGACTAATACTAAAAATAATGATTTTCTGAATGGTTATGAGAAAATACCCATGTACCCCTGCAATTAATCAAATTAATGTTCAATATGAACTGGCTGATCCATTAATAGTAAAATTGAATTTTCTGCCTCCTCATTGTCCTTCTGAGCTATGGAAACCTAAATAAAATTAAATGTTTCTCTGACAGTGAATTATTTATTTTGTATAGATACTCAGATATTCAAATCAATACAGTATCGACATTCCAAGTTTGTCAATACATTGATACCGCAAAATGTATGATGACATCCCTCAGTAGGGATAACATACCAACTGGCTGTGGACAGTAATTCATTGTTAAATTCTTTTGTTGACTTGCCACACCACTTCGCAACTAAAGCTCAAGTACATCACGATTTCTACAATACTTGAGCAATCTAACTTAAGGCCTTTATAAGGCCACGACTACACTGTAAAGGCCAAAAGTAAGAACAAAGTGTGCTTTCAAAACAGATTAATGAGAAATCTTGTTTATTTCATTGACAGAATGGCTCAATTTGTCCATCCAACTATACTACAGTAAAATATGTTTATAACAAACACACTCATAAGGAACTGACGGATATTACAAACCTAATTTTTGGTCCCGGACGTTTGCTGTATAGATATTGTATACATGCTCATAACAAACTACGGTTATAACGAACTGAAATTAGTGGTCCATTTGAGTTTGTTATAATGTTAGTTTACTGTATCATATATTCAAGTCTGCACTCCAGTGTTTTAACAACATTAATGGATAGAGTGACAGGCTAACTATTTAATACATGATGTAATCACATATCAATAGAGAATAAAATGATTGTCATGAGCTACCCATGGTTGCAAAACTCAGACCTTTTCAAGCCTGTGAAAACAGAGA